CCTTTTTTTTTTTTTTTTTTTTTTTTTTTTTTTTTTTTACTAAAAAAGGTGAGCTTTAACTAAGGTGTCCGATGAAATTCAGAAGTCTCGGACGGGGAGAGCGGCTGGAGCCGGCTCTGCCCTAGTCACCTGAGCTCTACCTGTCCATTTTCCCCAGCAAAGCTGTCCCTCACTGCCAGGCGGAGCAGAGCGGGTACCCCACTCCCACGGAGTTTCCAGGGGCACGAAGAGAGCCCGAGAGCGGCGGTGGCAGTGGGAGGCCGGTAGCGGACTTACTGCGCGCCCCCCCCGCGGCCGGGGGGGCCCGGGAGCAGAGGTGCCTGCACGGCCGCATTCCCGCAGACGGTTCCCTGCTAACACTTTCCCGATTACTGCTTCCAGGAACGAAAGCATCTGCACTTGTATGCTCTTAAACTAATTTATGGTGGGAATTATATTTTGGCTTGTCAACTCTCAAGCCATAAAACAAAGTTTATTGGAATCACGTGCTTCTAAATAGCCACTCAGGACCTATCTCTGTGGAACCATAAATAACCTTCAGCTTTAAACTTTTATTCGCTAAATAAAGGTTCGCTGAATCTGTCCTGTAAAACGGGACTGGGTCGGAATAACGGGGATGGGTGGAAGGTCAACTCCGCGGCGTTATGCCGGCCTTTTTGAGGAGCCTGCTGTAGGGAAACCTGCTAAGAGTGGAATTAGCGCTCCCAGATTGCTCTCGAGAAGGGACCCGGGTCTGTTTTGCCGGTTCAAACCGGACCCGGGTCTGTTTTGCCGTTCAAACCTTTCTTTGCATCTCTCAGGGGACAGGGAAGCCCATCGCCAGGGAAAAACCCAGAGGTACTGCGGGGAGACGGGGTTCCCTCTCTCCCTTCTCGGGATGTTTCTGGCATTTCGGTCAGGCGTCCCTGGAAAATTGGTTTTGACTCGTTCACCTCCTGAGCTGTTGCTCGGGAGAGCTGTGCCAGGGGCTGCGGGCTCGCCAGGCACCCGACTGACCTTCTCAAGCGACCAAACTGCTGGAAACAGTGAGGGCAGCGGGCTTTAGGAAGGGAGAGAGTGTGAAGGCTGCCACAATAAGATCTTTGAGGACTGGAAGTTTGAGGAGGGTTATAAAACCATAAAACAGTCCTGGTGTGAAGGGAGCAGGGTGTGAGTTAGCAAATGAGAATTTCAAGGAGCCCGAGCACAGGAAGTCAAATGTCCGCGGCAGTCACCCGGCATAAAGGAGCCCGAGCATCAGCTCCCAATCTGTTATGGCTAAAATGAGGGAGTCGGAGCGGTCAGCAGCTCCTGGTGCCTCCAAGGAGTGGCTTGTCCCTTTCTCGGAGGGCGGGGGGCGGCGTCCACCCCGTCGGGGACCGTCCGCGGATAGAGGCGACCGTCCGCTCTCCCGGCCGACGGGTGCGGATGCACCTTTGCGCAGGGGCTCAGCTCTGGAAAACGGGCCAACTTCAGCTCCTTGCTGTGTGGTGGCACCAGCTGGCACCAGCTGGGTGGTGCCTGTCTAAAGCCAGAGTTAGGACACTCCTGATCTGCTATTACTTGTTCTAACACGAAAGTTAGGTCCCTGTTGGTCGGGTCTTACTTGGCTATTTCCTACCGAATCTGTACAAGTTTGAGGTGGCCTAGAAGGGGCAGTTTAGCTCTTGCTAAGCTCTTCAGGTGTCTCGAAGCACAGCTGAACAATTCAGTTTACTCCAGAGAGCAAGAGGCGTCCTCATCACCTTTCGCGCTCCTTCTTTGGGACGCGGGGTTATTCTGCATTCCACTATTTGCCTTGATCTGTTTCCGTGCTTTAAAGATAGGGCAGCGCCTTCGATCTTCACCGGTGGCCTAAACTGGGGAAAGGCTGTTCCTCCCCGTTCCCCCTCCTGCCCCAGGCAGCTGGTGGGGGCAGTGCGTAAGGTGACATTTCAGCATCTTTATCGGGTAGCTAGTGAAAACCCAGGGGATCCGGTCAGGCTCCCCCGGGAGAGGGGTGGGCTGCCCTGCATGGGGCTTGACTCGTGGGTCGCTTTCAGCTGGAGCACGGCCAGCTCCGCCAGCCCCGGGTAGGCAAGGAGACGAGTTCCACGGGACTGTACCCCGCGCCCTGCTCAGGCATCCGGGCCTGGGCACGGCAGGTGCTGAACCAAACTCGGCAGCAGTCTTCAAAGCCCCCCCCACCTCGAGCCCCCCGTCCTCGGTGGCCTCCGGCGGAACGGCTTCAGCGGCAGGCAGCTGCAAGAAGCCAGAGTGCCGGTCCCCTCGGAAGGTGAGAGGAAAGGCCACGGATGGGGACCTGAGGGGAAGAGTGCAACGGTGAAGTCCGACAAAATGTGGGGAGAACAGGCTGAGACGACAGGAACCACGTGGCAGAGACAAACGCGTTTGCCCCGGGCCTGGCAGCGGGTGCTGGGTGCGGCGGAGGTCCGGTCCCGGGCGGCGGGGGCCCGGGTGGGCTCCAGCCCCTCTGCGGCACGGGGAGCGCCACGTCCCTCACCGCGTGTCTGCGATCGCTTCGGCTCTCTTGGCCCATCTCGTAGGCAAGAGAAGCCCACGGTTTGGAGACCGG